TGTGATGGAAGAGGAGAGATTTAAAGCATGAGAAGAACTCAACCCACAGGTGGTGGCTTTGAAGATGGAGGCAGCTGCCATGATCTAAGGAACATGGCCTTGAGAAAATGGAAATGGCCCTTGGCCAGTGGCCACCAGGAAAATGGGATCTCAGTTCTCTAAGCACAAGGAAATGGATTCTGTCCACCACCGGAGTGGGCAGGGACATGGACTTTCCCTTAGAGACTCTGGACAGGGGTGCAGCCCTGCCAACACCTTGAGCTTAGCCCAGTGACACCCATTTTGGGTTTCTGACCTATGGGATGTCAAGATAATAAATTTCTGTTGGTTATGCCACTGGGTGTGTGATCCATCATCAGAGCGGCAACGGGAGACTAGTGCAGGCACTTCACATACAGGTGGCCACATCCCGTCCTATCCATCTGACCATAGCAGGAAAGACACATGTCTCTGTGGCCCCTGAACATGATCTGTGAGGTACTGGACAGAGTGACTGACCGGGAGATTGAAGGGGAGCTGTAGAGGACAGCAGGCAGCTGGCAGGGAAGGCCACTGACAGAGGGGAGGGGACAGTCAGCTGCTGAGGGAGCTAGAAGCCCTGGGTAGCCTGGGCCACCAACACGCTTGCTGACTAGAACTGGTCCCAGTTCTCCACCACTTCCAGCTTGCCTGGCACACGGCTTATGTGCTTCCCATGGGGCCTGGCTCTGCCTGGCATTTCCTGGTCTTCCTTGGCTGCTGTGGGCCTTTTATCCCCAGTCCCATGTATCTCCTGATAATTCCCCTTTTATTTGTCCTTCCCTGGTCTGACCCTCCACCCTACCCCCCAGCCTTTCTGAGCTCGTAGTACTAGTCTGTGAGGGCAGTGGGGGTTGCTAATCCCTACACAGGGGGCTGTGAGGGTGGATGCCCTAATAACCATGGAAAGCACGCTGACCCGTGTGATAAGCCACACACATGCTACTGTTGTATCATGGCAGCCAAGTTCAGGCAGCAGCTGGTGGCATTCTATCCTCTCTCCAAAATCTCCAAATCCTTTTGTTGTCCCCTCTTCCTTCCCTGGCCCCTACCTCACCCAGCTTCTTCTGTTTGCCTGAAGCCCCTAGGGATACCCTCAGGTCTTGCTAACCTCTGGAGGTGGCCTTTCATCCTAAAATCACCTGTGATTCCTGCTTTAGCCATCCCAGGACAAATGGACTCCAAAGGCTGTCTCTGAAGTGGGGGCTCCTCCACCCGCTGCATCTCTGGACAGCTCACTTCAGCCTGGCAGAGCGCTGGGCTCAGGGGGGAGCCACTTTTGCTCAGATGACTTTATAACCCAGGGCCTATGCGAGCTTAGGTTTCCAAGTAAATAAACACGGGACAAATGTATGCCAACGGGCTGGGATCAAAACACATCTCCAGCTGTCGGGAACACACAGAGAAGCAGTTTCCTTAGAAATAAGTTCCCTGAGGGAAAGGGTCTAGTGAGGCAATTTGAGACCTCACCAGAGGCGGACATGAAGGTTCAGGGCCCAACATGTCCTGAGCCTCTTGCAAATAGCAGCCCGTGCTGGCTCAGGGGGAGAAGTTCCACGTCTATAGGAAAAAATGGTGCCTTCAGGTCACCTGGAGCCAAGGGCATGAGAGGATCAATGCTTAAGTGTGTTCTAGAGATTCAGATCTTCCAAAGCACTTCTGTGTAAGAATGTCAAGTTGACTTCCCCAACAACCCTGTGACACTGGCCTGGCAGATGTTATGGTCCCATTGTCCGGATGACACCAGAAAGGTTGGGAGAGGTTTTACTGGCCAAGTCACCCAGCTAGGGCAGCCAAGAGAGGAATAAAAGTGTATCATGCCCTAAGGCCCTAATGTGACTTGTAATTAGAAGCTAAATTTGGAAGAGTTGGAGATAAAAAGCATTTTCTTACCTTCCAAGATTTAGAAGGCAGAGATATTTACTGAAGCATTTAGAAAGCAGGCAATCCAAATCCCTTATTCATTTTCTCTCTTTAAGAAGAATGATGGTTTCATTCACAGGACACCCTTGGCTGGTCAGGACAGAGTGGAAATTTCCACACACCAGAATTTCATACGTATACTTCCAAAGTTAAAGGACATTCGGAGTCCAAAACTTTCAAGCAGTTTAAAATGCATAGCTTTCTGAAAACCTCTGCTGATTCTGGCCAATTTTCAGCCTTCTCCAGAATTCACCAGGGCCAACATGATTCACAGAATTCTTTATGAATTAAGAAGCTGTAAATTACGCATCTTTTCTTTTAAATATGCATTACTTTCCACGCTTTACAGCCAAGCAGAATACACAGTGTCACAGAGGCAGCCGGAGGGAACATTTTCTCCCCTTTCTTCCTGCTCTTCCAGCGGGGGTGGGGGGGAACGGTACAACTTGACACATTTCAGAGTTTGAAAGTGCAAAGTGCTATCTCTGCAGAATATTTCCCCAGGAGAGTTTCTAAGGCCAGGTTCTAAGCAAAGCGCGAGACTGAGTCACATGTGTAACTGGCAGAATAAAAATGACAGCACAACAAATCCACTTTCATGGAAGCTCAGAGTGTAGAAAAGGGAGTGGCTTTGGCAGGAACGAGCCTGCCTCCCTTGCTTGGAAATTACGACAGTTGCTTTTCATTAGAAGTCATTCAGCCTCATTAAGGACGGTATGTGTGCCAGGGAGTCTCCTACCCGGGTAATAAAGGAACCTGGACCCATCTGGAGAAGAGTCTCAGGTGCTGAGATGCATCCAAGCGTGCTCAGAGGACTGTCACCCCCAAACCAGAGGCAGCCACCTCCCTACTGGGAAGCCAGTGGCTCTGGACAAAGAGAATGAGCCTAAGACAACGACCTTTTCAGGTGATGGTCACTCTAAGTTGAATTTGTTGTCTGGACTAGCACTAATTTATTTAAAAATTATTTTCCAGTAAATGCAAACGAAAACCAGTTTGGAAAGAAACTGAGAGTTTTAGGAGAGCTAGTTGTTTCCAGAAAATACGGGGGATAGTTAAAAAATGCTTGAATACTTGAAAATAAATTGCTATGACAGCAACGTCTTTGTTAGACAAACGGTGTTCATAAAATGATTTTGTTTAAAAAGCAGGGAACCTGGCCCAGGGTTTTTCTCCCCATAAGAGACCTTACATCTAAGGCCTTACATCTAAGACCTTATATCTGAGGTCCAAGTGGGCAGTGGAGGGGCCCTTACCCCACCTGGGCACACAGGCCTGTCCCCACACCTGTAAAGCGACAGTGGCCCTCAAATCCTAGGATCTCTTCCCACTTCCCATTTTCTTCCAAATCACTGGGCAGCACAAGATGATATTTCTTCACCCTCAGAGCTGAGGCCTCCTCTCAGCTGTATGCTAAGCAGCTCTGCAAGGCTCGGGGCCAGGAGCAGAACTGCCCCATTTTTGGCAACTGGGTAAAGCAAGGGGCTTCAGAGCACTGGATCTAGAATAATGTGGAAAATTGGTAGATGCAGTTCAGGCCAGCACCTGAGGCCCTGTGCGTGCAGTGTGCAGGGAGGGGCCTCCGTGCATGGTTCCCAAGGGGGTGGTGTGTGTGGCCTGGTCAGCACCCCTTGAAGGACCGGCCTATGGGCACAGCCCTGCTGAGGAGACAGCCATCTCCTCACAGCTGCCGATGGCCCGCTGAGACACAAACAACACCCTCTTTTGAATAAACAACTCCCCACCCAGGCTTGCCAAAATGAGGACGGGCTCTTCTCAAAGGGAGCAATTTTATTTCAAGGGTCTAATGGAACCAAGGAGATACAATAAAAAGTTGCAGCTATTAAAAAAAAAAAAAAGCAATAGACCATCTTCTTTCAAATAAACAAACTATCCTTTGAACAAGAAAACAGCCTTCTAATGGGTCAGGCTGGGGCCAGGTTGTGAAAGAGTTATGTCCCCTGCCCCAGGCCCTCCTCCTCCCTATCCCAGCTCCCTAGTTTTCTGCTCTGCAGCCTTGGGGAGCCTGGTGCCACCCTGCTGGGTCTTTGCCAAGCATTTATCAGCTGAGCTCATCTGACATAGAGCCTTCCAGAACACAGTGCTTACTTTTGGACAGGGGCCTACCAATCTCTAAGGCTAGAATTCCAGGCAGGGAAATTTCCCTAGAATTTCTTGAGTCACATCATAAAGGCAGTTATCAGCTCTTCAAAAATACAGGACTTGCTTCCACCACCAACTTTTAACATTTTATAAGCTTAAAAAACTTCAACCGTGATTTTTACTCTTTCTTTTGTGCAACTTTTGTCTCTAACAGTTACAACTTGTTATTTGTGTGAACGTGAGAAGGCTGTGTTACAAGGAATGAGCCACAGGACTGTGGAAAAAAAGAAGCTTGATAAAGTGGAGAAACTTGAGCGAATTCCCCTGAACTCTTACATTAATATTTGACTGGTATTCCTAAGATCTGTTTCCATAGCAGTGGTTTTTCAGTATTTTCTGCTATCATTTGGTTCCAATTTTCTTAGTGTTAGGACTGAATCAGAACTTTGAGTGATAATCTTGATTAAATGGAAGGTACTGATTATAAAAGAACACATACATTTATTAATCAAAATTCAAAATTAATAGATAATTTGAGAAGACATCATCCCTCTATGAAGTGGTTCTATACTTGGAATACATACCTGTCACACATAAAAATCACAAAGCTATATTCATAATAGATAATTTAAAGAAAAAGATTAGGTCTTTTGCCATTTTAAATATATATACCATCTAAATATTTCACCAAAGCCTTAGGTAGCTGAACAAACGGAAAGACATTTTTCTTCTCCGGGACTCAAAACCTAGCACTAAAGACTAGAAAATCACTTGAGGGGGGTTCTTTTAGGAGCTGGGTCATCTGGAGCAAGTTTTCACTGGTCCAAACTTCCTCCGTGAGGAAGTGCCCTCTCCACACTGAGCTCCCTGGAGGAGCCATGGGGGAAGGCCATGGACGGGGAGGGGGCAGCTCCCAGGGGCCGGGAGAGAACAGCCCTGGCAGGCCTGGGACTTACCAGATAGCGCTCCTCCTGCCGCATGCTGGGCGTGCGGATCATGTGATTCTGTTCCCCTCTCCAGTCTCCAAAGCGACGGAAAAAATAGTTAGATAGGAACCGGTTGACGGGGTCTCTAATGATGTTGATGTAGACAGGCTGGTCTCCTCCAAACCTAACACACAAACATGAAGCTCGTTACAACCCGGCACTTCTGCAGGGAAACAGGGCCTACGTGGACAATGTCTCCCCTCTAGGTAACTTTATTATCAGAGGATGACCCCATGAGCTAAGGTGCCAATGAACGCTTTAAGAAACAAGTGGTGTTTCCCAATGGGCATTTTTAGTTACTATCAGGCAGGACCATGTTCTTTGTAAATGTAGAGACAAAAATGTTGTTTGATTTCTCACTAGGCAATCAGTTTCTTTTTGTTTTTTCTTTTTTAGAGACAGGGTCTCACTCTGTCACCCAGGCTAGAGTGCAGTGATGTCATCATAGCTCACTGCAGCCTCAAACTCCTGGGCTCAGGCAATCCTTGTGCCTCAGCCTCCCAAGGCTATGCCACCATGCCTGCCTAAAATTTTAATAATTTTTTGTAGAGATGGGGTCTCTCTGTATTGCCTAGGCTAGTCTCAAACTCCTGGCCTCAAACTATCCTCCCACCTTGGCCTCCTCAAGTGCCAGGATGACAGGTGTGAGCCACTGTGCCCAGCATGGCTGTAGGTTTCCTGGGGACAGGGCCATGTTCTATGGGACTTTGTGCTCCCAGTGGCTAATGCAGAAACTTGGCATGCACTTGCCCTGCAGCGCGTGTAGTTCTCCTACTTTATAATTCTACACTGTGGTCCCGGGTAGCCAATCTTTATTGAGTGTGCACTGTTTACCTTTCTAAATACTTTATGTGACCAACTCACTGAAGCCCCACAACACCTTAATGAAATAGTAACTGTAATAATCCGCATTTATACCTGTGGAAACTGAGACAGGGAGCAGGTGAATAATTTGTGACTGAGTCAGGATATGAACCCAGGTGGTCTGGCTCCAGAATCTATGCTCTTAATTACAGAAAGGTGATATCCAGAGTTGCAGTAAGTAGCAAAACGTAATAATGTACAGGATATTAAGAACAAGTAATGGGGAGTGGTTTCAGATAAAAATAAAACAGCCAGGGGTTCCATTTTAATTTCTTGCACAAAAAGATGAGACAGGTGCTGGCCCAAGAGCAAGGTCTTCCTCGGGCAAAGTGATTAGATTGGCTAAATTTTTCTCAACAATCTCCACGCCCCCATCTCTTTGCACTTGGAAAAGCAGAGGCCCTGAGGAGTCTGGGGAGGGCACCTCAATTTCTGGGCAGAGGCTAGACTCTGGCAACTTCCTGAGGCTGCTGCAGGCTTTGCTACCCCTATGACCTTGTGACCTTCTCATGGGGGTGTCCAGCCTCTGTCAGGGAGAAGAAAGAACTCGGAGAAAACAAACTGGCTGGATCCTGCCACTGCCTCTCTCCAGTTGAGCCCAGCCTGGAGCCACAGCCACATCCTGCACCCATTAATACCTATGCAAGTATTCACCCCACCCCTTGTGTCCCAGGCCCTCTGTCCCACTGTACTGACATTTCTGTCTGTCCCATCCGACTGTGAGCCTCTGCAGCTAGGAGGAGCCCAGAATAGTGGTGGCACACAGCAGGGGTTTAACAAATGCCGACTGAATGAAGAATAGAGTGCCAAGGTGTCTGCTTCTCAGTCTTAGATTCCTGCCAGTATCACTGGGCTCTGTCATCCAAGGACAGGAGACATCACAAGTCACCAATCCTTTCTGGGTATAATTCATATAATGCTGTCCCCAGTTTATCTGCATTTTTAAAGAGAATCTTCAGAGAGAAGAATCCAAAGAAACAAACAAAAAAAAACGATGACAGTGGAATTTCAGGCCCCAGGATGTACGAATGATATTGTGGGTCCCTCAAATCTTACTACGTTGGAAAACACACTGCTCAAGGGTAAGCCTAGCCTTGCCAATAAGGATCCCCTTTTTTATTTCTGGTTAACGTGAGGGCACATACAAGCAGGTGCCACTGTCTGCATTAGTAAGGTAAAGTCAAAGTTGTAGTTGTGCCCTTCCCACGGGTGAGCCATACATCTGCACCCACCAGGTTCCCATGGTTCCTGCACCCATGGTTCCCACCAGGAAGGGACCTGCTTCCCCTTCTCCCCCTTCTTGGATTTAACTGAGTGTTTCTTTCCTGTGTGCATGTTGTTGTTAGTCTACACGTTTTAAATTAGTATTGAGTACATGCAATGCGTATTTTTCCACTCTTGTGATACTTTGCAAATCCTGTCAGTTCATAGACATATACAAGGTGGCATCGTGCATCTGGATGAACAACTGACTGGAGCCCCGGGCGTTATCTGTGCCCACCACCAGCTAGCCACCACATGCATCCTAGACTTATCATCCTCCTTTAATTAAATTGGCTTTCATATCTATGATACACAGTGACTGAAGTAATCACCCCAGGGACTAGGAAGAAGCAGCATGCATACCAAATAAGAATGTAATTAGCCCTGCAAAAATTGCATCATGCTTTTAAAAACCTCAAATGTACTTTTTACTTTTATGTGAGGAGTGACCACTGGTGCTAATTAGCAGAACCTCCCCAGCCACATGAGTGAAGGTACAGTTTCCCACTAGCCCACAGTTCTCAGCCTGTCCACTGCCCGTCCACCTCCTCCCATCAACTGCTATTAATGAAAGGCCTGACAAAGCCTGTTTCCTATGGATGACCTGCTCCTATCTGTATGATATAACCCAACGCAAAATTTCCAGATGAATTTTCCAAAACAGAAGTTTTAATAACTTTATGGTTCTGTTTCAGATGATATGATAGCTTCTCTCTAGAAATTTCTAAGGATGAGAGAGAGGAGTCTGATCTTTATTTCTCCTGTTCAAACAGGCAGTAGTAATAATGGTTTCAGGCTGCCAGCTCTCCTTATCCTTTCTGTATACACCCCTATTGCTCAAACTGGGAAAAATTTCAGATGGTGTACCAGTTATACAAGAGGCCAGACCACCACACCATTAGAGCAAACCATGTGTTCTCCTCATGCTCATTCATCCTCTTTCAGGACCAGTATTTTTTAACTCAGGTCAGAGTTCTTGGTCACCCTTATAAGCGTCTGGGTTATCTGAACCTTCTGTTTACTGATGACTCCATTCTCAGGGTGAGAATACTGAGTGTGGATGACCTGCTGCTGTTTGTATAATGTAACCTAAAGCACAATTTCCAGATTAATTTGGACTTTGGAATTATAATTCAAATTTGGAAAATTAATAGTTTGTACCCTACCATCCCAGGCACCAAAACATTCCGGCTTAGTTTTAAAACTCTTGAGAGAAGATTTTGCAGCCTCCCTGTGAATCCATCCTACTGGTCGACCTGACAGTGGTGGAGTCTTTGTTACGCCAGCCAACATTTTTCATCTTCCTTTTATGCACCCTTCCTTCTATCTGAACCATCTGACACAAAGGATTAGCTTCTCGTGTGCTCCTACAACTTTTAGCCTTTTCAGCTTCAATTTTCATTCCTTGAACTATTTTTTTTTTTTTTTTGGTTTCTTTTAAAACTTCCTTTGGCTTTTGTCCTAAGATTTATTGCCCTTCATTTTATAATTTATAATTTGGTCTTTTTTGAGCACTAAAAAATTGTGGTGACGATAGCTGATCCCATGGGCTGTGCATACCCTAGAGAGCAGAAAGTTGGGGCATACTTTGTTTTTCCCTTAACAAAACACCTTCTGTCCCTTGGTCACCACAACTACAACTGCATAGTTGAAGCTCTCCTTTAAGCCATCCTAAAAAAGCAGGTCCTACCAATTAATGTGACATTTGTTCCCAGGTCATTATTTACTGACTATGTAATCACCTCTGTGAGTGCAAACTGATCATATTCTTTTAATTTTTGTTTTTATTGATTATTTTTTAACGAGAAGATAAAGATCAAGAACAGGACAGAATTCACTGGAAATAATAACTACACGGTTCTCCTCTGGGGGAGGCATTTCTCAATATCTCATCCTGAGCGTTTTCATCAACATCCTCTGCCCCATCTTGCTACTTCAGCCAACACGCCAGCATCAGTCACCTCTTTAACAGCTACACCAAGCACTTGAGCAAAAAATCCAGGTATACTTTCATCAAAGTGCTCAAGGCATTCTTTCTATACAATCAAAAAATCCTGCGTATCTTAAATCAAGACTTAAGACCAGAAGCATTCTGGAGCACTAAGACTGTTTGGTCCTCCTCCTACAACAGGGAACAGTTTTTAAAAGTGCATCTTCTCCTTCTTTTTTAAAATCATGGTAAAATATTTATGACATAAAATGTACCCTTTTCTCCATTTTTAGGTGTGCAAGTCAATGGCCCTTAGTACACTTCCAGTGTTGTGTGACCACCACAACTACGCATCTCTAGAACTCTCACAACACCCCAAACTGAAAGTCTGTATCCATTAAACAACAACAACAACAACAAATCCCTTTCCTCTTCCCCAACCACCCTCTGCTGAAAGTCTTTTACTCTCTGGCCTGGATGTAGCGGTTATGTGTGTGTGTTGCTACCTACATTAAAAGATGAAAAGTACCACAGGCCAGAGGCCCAAGCTTTCATCCCTGTCAGTGAGGGAGGAAGACTCTTGGAGGTGAGAGGAAGCCATCATGAAAAAAGATACAATCGTATGAGGGGCAGCGTGAGGAGATATCTGAGGACGGTATCACCTCACACTGGGAGGGGTTCAAGGGTCTTTTTCTGAGAACACGCCTGTCTCGCAGCAAGGGGAGCCCTGGGCAGTTACTGGGGCAGGCCCAAGCCAGGCAGGGCAGGGTCTGCCTTGACCTCACACCCAGGCAGTAGATACTTCTGTCTTCTCTGCCCCATCACAGAACACAAGCATGTCTGCTATCTGGCCTGTCCTGAGGCAGGAGAGGTGGAAGCAGTTGGTGGGGGGACGCTGAGATACATGGGGGAGGGACGAGTGGCTGACAGGACACAGAATAAACAGAGGATGGGATGGGCTGAGGGAAAGTCCAGATTACACTTGTCCTTGAGGGGCCAACACAGCGCGTGGGCTGTGCAGCGGCAGTGATCTACCCACTGGGGACAGAAAGGCAGAAACAAGACGGCGAGAGTGCCCTGCCAGGAGGGCCAGGAGTCCCACAGCGTTGTCACAGGACACACAGAGAGAAAACTCTCACTCCCAAATGCCGCCTTTGTGCCGTGTTTAAGGAGGTAGACATAGTGCTACCATTTTTATTTTGATGTTCTCTTCAAAGCATCAGGCTTCAGTCACATTATGAAATATTCAAAGGGCATAGTATTAAAATGGACTGCTTTGCCAATAAGAATGAAAAACAAAATCAACATTCATGAATAAAATGTACAAACCAAAGTGAGTTCTGAAATTAGGAGAATCTGATTTGTTTTTGTTAAATACCACCACCAGGAGGGACAGATTTTGTTTACAAATTTCTGATGTGAAAAACATTCCTCCCCTCAGTAACTAAGATCTCAATGGCGAGGAGGAGAGAGTGTGCCCACAACACCTCCCTGGCACATCACACCCCACCTGCTCCTTGGGTGACTGATGGATCTGGACTCTTGTGTTTTTGCAAGTTAGTGTTAGCGCTGGAGCCACCCGCTGAGATACTCGGATAAAATAGAAATGGAAACAGAGGAAGGTGAGGGGCTTCCTGGGAGGAAAAGAGAATGATGTGAAAAAGGTGCCGAGAAGTGGTGGCTGAAGTTATTTGGCCCACTGGTATCTCTCGTACGCACTGGGGCTATTTTTACAACACTGAGCTCTGAAGGCAAAATGTCTTAAAGTCTCTTTGCAAGAGCCCAGTTGTTGGGGGGGAGGGGGAAGGTGAAGGGAGATGTAGATGGGAAAAAGAATGACCCCCCACTTCCAAAAAGCTTAGAAAACAAACACGGGGAGGGGGCAAATTGAACTGTGGTCTGTCCTAAGTCTTTCCAACGTGTGGATCTAAGACGTATTGGAAGGAATACTGTGAATATCAGAAGGTTGAGCTTTTCCAAACATTGCATCCTAAAGTTACTTTGGAAGCTGGAAAAACACACATCAAGCCACGGTAAACAAACATTACAGACCCACCTTAAATGTCACAAAGGGTGGCAGCATCTTTTAGGACAGTGGTTCTCAACCTGTGGGTCACAACCCACAGGAACTGTATTAAAGGGCCACAGCATTAGGAAGGTTGAGAACCACTGTTTTGGGATAAAGTAGCTTTGATTCCATTCTCCAGGTAGTCCAGGTGAATAATGTTTGTTTGACCCGAATTTCCAGGGAGTTCAAACACCGTGCGAAAGAGTGACCTGGTGTAAAACCCAGTGGACCCAGATACCCAGGGCTGAGATCTCTGCTGAGCAGCTGTGCTCATGTGGCCTGGCAGGAAACCTTCCCAGAGACCACGACAGAACCCCCTGTTGGTCTGATTCTGTTGCTTCACATCCTGGGATCAGTACAACTGGATATGACCAAACGGTTCTTCCTAACCCTGGAAAGGGAGAAGGAAGGGGCAGAACCAGAAGGCTAATGATGAAAACCTGAACTCAACCAGCTACTCAATCTCCCCAAGCTCACAGGACAGTATTTTAGATCATCTCAGTGTCTAAATTTCCAGGGAAAAAGGCCATTTTAATGGAAACAAAGACATCAAGGGCAATTAGTTCTGGGATAAGACCATACTTTCAGGAGTTCAGAACATCTGTGTGCCAATGAAGGTGTGGGAGAGATGGGCTCTCCGAGGCTGCTCTGGGCCTTGCTGCCGTTAACCACGTGTCATCACCGTGCTCTGCTGATGACAAATGGCAGCAGAGAATATCTGTGGCAGCATCAGTTCTTCTCACAGTAACCTCAGTGTCCAGAAACAGCCTGCCAGCAGTCGTAACAGTAGGTTTCTTAAGAGCAAATTCATTATCTTTACACCTTACAATTCAAAATATGTCTAGAACTCGTTTTTTAAAGTACGTTAAGTCCCTCTCAACAAGTCCCAGCTTAGTTGTTTTTCTCAGTCAGTTGTATACTTGGGGACTTTCTTTGTATGCCTGCAGTTTGTATAAATGACAAACTTAATTTTCCTTAAATAATCTATTTCCTTAAGAAAGGATAAGCTGATGTGTAAGGTCCAGGCCCTGTGAGCGTAACTATGGTGTTGTCAGTATCAGAGTTCAGCTTCTCATTCTATTCATTTTTTATGGAAGTCCCTGGAATGTGGGGTGGGAAGAGAAGTGGGGAGATTGCACCCACAGAGGCAGGTGGACTTTTTAAAGGAGAAACTCTAGGCAGGCCAGTCTCCAGCTGTTCCTGCTCAGCTCCGCCTGCCAGTCCATTCCAGCTGTGCTCACTTCTGGGCTTCACTGACTGGTCCAGCCTTTGCTTTTCCTGGGCCTTTCCCTTTATTTGCCTGAAGCTGATGCATCGCTCACATCCCAGCAGACTTCTTCCAGGCGGGGAGGGTCCTGCTGACCACCTCCCCTGGAGAAGAACTGTGACTGCCTCTCACCTTCCTCACCCTCTTATGGAAGAAGAACGTGCAGTTTCCTGAAGGCAAGGGAGATATTAGTGTTCACTGCAGAAGCCCCGGGTCTAAGGCAGTGCACGGAAACAAGGGGGACTCTGTAAACGTGCATTTAATTTAACAAAATGGAACTGAGGGAGGAGAAACAGAGTCTGGCCCTGCCCTCAAGGGTTGCCATAGAAACACAGTCAGGAGCTAAACGGTGGGCTCAGAAATGCCTTTCCAAATGCCACTTTGAATATGTAACATCCTCCTCCCGGAGGGCCTTTCCTTCATGACTTCAGAGCATCCCTACCAGGTAGGGGTGAGCAGGGACTGTCCCTATTTTACAGAGGGAAGAAGAGAGACCCTGGAGAAGTGGAATGATGTGCTTAGGATCATGGCCGGTGCAAAGGCAAGCCCTGCTGCCTGGAGGTCCTGACTGCCAGACCAGCACAGCTTTCTGCAGGCATGGTGCTTCTAAAAGGCATCTGTCAATTCTTTTTCCTCCAGAATTAAAGCAATCATGATTAAATTCCTGTGCCTGAATCTAACAATAGAATATGGCCGCCAGGTTGTGCTCTGCCCATCCCATTAACACACTGACTTTGGCAGAAGTGTTTTACAATTATTAAAATTCGTTGTACTGCAATTTGTTTGGCTGTAAAGATTTGTCCTCTAAAGGAAGAAACATTAATGAATGAGGTTGGAGGACATCAGGGGTGAAGCAGAAGGACACTCCCTGGAACAGCAGGATCACAGAAGCCCTGCTCTTCTCTTTACAAGTCATAAAACACAGCACTTGAAAGAGCTAGCAAGTCCTCCTTAGCTAATTACATCTAATGACACGTTCTTGGCTTTCTGGAAGTAAGAGCCAGGGCGTGCACCAGACAATCCACTTTATAAATGTGTTTGGAAACACACTCCAAGATGTCCAGGGCCTGGCCCTGGGTCACTGTGGATAATTTGCAGGCGTCCTATTCACCCTCCAAGGGACCTCTGGTTGTTAGGGGGGCTGAGGAAACATCAAGGGAAGCACATTTTAAAATATAAGGCAGCAAACCCTCTTCTCTGCTTAATGACTTGCTTTGCTGAATCTCATTCTTTGCACTTAATTTGCACAGGGCCTGCTACATAGCAAGGAAATCCTTTGAAGGCTAAAACTGTCTCCCAGCCCAGTAGGTTGTCAGGCATCCTGGGCCAGGGCAGGAGCAGGAAATGCACTGGTCAGAGCTCTGTCCTTCCCCCAGAGCCAGCCTGGCCTCAGAGGCCATTGGGTCAACACTATCCAGCAGGTGTATTGGTGGTTGGTGCACTCACTCGCGTGGGCCTGCGAAGTGCACATTCTCATGAAAATGAGGGAGGTGCCAGTCAGCTGGCTGATGACAGAGGCCCAGGGGTCCCCAGGCAGGCTAGCCCTGCCCCTGGAACCACTGGCCAGTCAGCTGACAGATCCAATTGTGAGACAGACCCCCAGCAGGCCAGAGGAGAGCAGGAATCTAAAGGCCATCAGTTTGGAAATGAGGCACAGTGACAGTGACACTATGCTTAATGGAGCACTGAGAAAGAGAATGTACAGAATCCAAAGCCAGCAATTTAATAAAGAGAGGGTGTCAAAACGTAAATTTGAAGGTCTGTATTATTATCAGAAGGCTACAGCTGCTGAATTAAACACAGAATTCTAAAACACTTCATCAACATCAAACACACAGGGCTTAGAACAACCGACTGGAGTACAGTCATGCGTTAGCACTGGGGATAAGTTCTGAGGAAGGTGTCCTTAGGAGATTCTGTCACTGTGGGAACATCACAGTGCACACACACAGATAAGCCAAAGGACATCGCCTACTACACCGAGGCTGTACAGCAAGGTGGAGGCATTTCTCTTGGGCTACAGACCTACCTGGCTGGGTGTACTGCATACTGTAAGCAGTGGTAATATAATGGGAAGTATTTGTATAGCTACATATAGGAAAAGTACGGTCAAAATACAGTAGTCTTCTGGGGCCATCACTGTATATAAGGTCTGTTGTTGACCAAAACGTCGTAGTGTAGTGTGTGACTGTAATTAAAGAGGTAAACAGACGAGCTAGTACCAGCTCTTCGAATCCTATAAAACACACATTACTCCACTATGAAGGCATTTCCCAGAGCCCTGTGCAGGTTCAAATTGTACAAAAACGTGCAATAAAATATTTACATTTAAATACCTATCCCTTGCCTTGTAATTTGTTTCAATACAAAATCTGATTTTTCTTTCTTTTTCACTCTTTTTTTTTTTTCTAAAGAATCCTGGAGTCAAATGGCATCTCCTCTAAAAATAATTCCATCTTTTTGTAAAATTTAAGGTGGCATTTTAGGTAGAAAGAAATGATGTTTCTGTCCAAATAGTTCAAATTTCGATTCCTCTGAAGCAGAAATAAATGTATTAAAAATGCCTTTTCAAGGACAGCTGCACTACCGTGTAAATAAAGGTAGATTTCTAAAGTAATTGCTCATTAGAAGAAAGCGAACCAACCATTAAATTGGAAAACGTCTTACCTTGAAAAGTTGAGGAAATGAACATGTCGGGTGAATAAATAGGGCTGTTCGGCAGTACTTATATTTTTAATCAGTTCCATCTATTAAAAAAAGTACAAAATTAGCATATATAGGATCTGATTTACCAAGCCACGTTAAGCTAAAGGTTATCCATCCAGCTCCGTCCAACCCCACATGCTACCTCTGGACCAGGGCCGAACAGCTGTGCTTTACGCAGTATCTATGTGCTTTCACGTAAGGCTTCTGGGTGAATAAAACAGTGCCTTCCAAATTTACAGTCCTGTATCTAATTTAGTTGATTGCTACCATGAAAACACATGACAGACTAAGTCATTTCAACTGGAAAAATCAGTGTGTTGCTGTACCAAAATGCAAAAAAAAAAATAAAAAAATGCCTGCTGTCCCCTCCTTCAAGTCAAATCGAGGAACAAGGTCAATCATTACTTTCTATTTCTATAATGATATTGTTGAGATATACTGAACTATTAAAACTCCTACTGCGGAATTTTAAAATGGTAATAAAATGAGGTACCCCTTCATGTTCTTCTCTTTGATTATAAAAATTTATAAGGAACATACATCATAGGAAACACACAAACCCCCAATCGTCCTGGTTTTTTAGTGGGTGGTCCACCGAATTATTTATTTGCCGTGATCAGCAAGGCAAAAAGTGGTTTCTATTCATATAAACTAACTTTTATGGACTTCTGGAACATGTCATGATACAGAAAATGTTTAGTCAAATCTGTTAGAAATTCCACACATTCTTATGACTCCCTGACTTCCTGAACTCCACTTTCCCCTGATTTTCTAACTGGCCCCACCAAATGGACATACTGTGGAATTAAAAAAAAACAAAAACCACACTGAAGATGGCTGCTTAGGAGGCGCCTCAGACACGCAGCATTTCTTATTTGCTGAAATAGTTCAAGTTGAAAACTGGAAACAAAGCCCGTCATTCACACATTGACCACAGTAGCTAGAACGACAGTGAAATCAGAACTGGAACTTCGGGACAGTCACAGACCTGACAGAATACTCGGGCCTGCCTGGTTCCCTCGTGTCTGACACGGGACTGACACATACAGAAGTGCTCAGCAAATATTTGTCCGATGAATTAACTCCAACTCAAACATGCTGTAGGGACTGTTACACTAGAATCCCAGCATCTAACCCCCTCGATTGGATATTCCTGCTCACAGTGATTGAAGAAATGAAACTGAATTTTAAACGTAAATTGCAGTTCGTAAACCCTATTACTCTGTTAGTCGGTGGCAGGTCTGGTAAATAATGGTCTGCCTGTCCCTAGCTTGAGGATAAAAGGAAACTGAATGCTGCCCTTTTATCTACTGTTTTTCCTCTACAAACCCCACGCATGTGCTTGTTTTGGGTAGCAAAACATCCCACTTGGTCACATTGTTAATTGTCATCTTTGATGGACTTATCAACAGAGTTAAAGATTTGGAAGCACAGCCATAGGTAATTTCTCTCTGAAGGTGCCTGCTTAGAGAAATAACTCTTGACCATATGTATGTTGAATGCAAAGGCCATTAATGCTTTAATTTTTGGATGATTTTTATTCAGATATTTCTCTGCACACAGTCAAGAAGGACGCCTAGTACTGCACAAGAAAACTGGGGGAGCAGGCCAGAAGGAAACCATTTCCCCCCATATTTAACGTTATATCATATTCTCTAAACACATGTCAATGTGTTAAATTTAATGGATGAACAGTAGTAGTTAGATTTTGAGAACAGTGTCATAATAGTCATAAAGCTGTCTATTTCACAAGAAAAAGTGCATTAGCAGTGACAATGTATAACTCTTTCTAGACGTAGCTTTAAACACAGAATAAAGGTACTAATGCTCATGTTTATTGCATTAGCTGGGTATAGGCAGAGAGCACATTGCAGCTCTCAGCCAGGTTTGTCTGCACAAATGCTAAGACTTTCCCCACTTCCAGTCACAGCAGGGGCCTCCTCAGCACCTACTGCTAGCACCTAGGGTCCCTTGGCTGCTCCTCCCCTGTGGCCCCAACCTGCCTTTTCTCTTGCTTAAGCATATTTGCATACTGGCATCATGGGTGGCAATGACACTGCTGAGAATCAGCACGGAGACTTCTGCTCCTCAGAAGACACACACAGCAGTGTGTCCTAATGGTGCCCCCAGATGTGCCCTGGCCGCCATGCTCTCGGTTCTCACTCATCTTCACACTTTATCCAGACCAGTCCCTCTCTGGTCCTGGCATTCTCCGCACTCCCACTGTTGGTCTGAGTCTTCCCTGGACGCTCGTATTCAGTGACCTCCCAAGTCATGTTAATCATACCTGTGCCACCTCCCTCAACTGGCTGTTGTGGCCAGGCTGACTAGACCCCTCCATGCTCCTTCCTCACACCAAAGACTGACCAAAGCTCAGGTTTAATTTCCTCTTCTGGAGTGTTCTTCCACTTCTCCTCGTATGTCCAAACCCTAACCACTCTACTACTCTCTACCTTTGGCTAAAATGCTTACCTCCCCCAGGGAGCCTTCCTAGACCTTTCTTTCTTTTTTTTTTTTTAGATAGAGTCTCATTTTGTCGCCCTTGGTAAAGTGCTGTGGCATCACAGTTCACAGCAACCTCAAACTCTTGGGCTCAAGTGACCCTCTCACCTCAGCCTCCCGAGTAGCTGGGACTACAAGCACCCACCACAACACCCAGCTACTTTTTAGAGACAGGGTCTTGCACTCCTGAGCTCAAGAGATCCACCTGCTTCCACCTCCCACAGTGCTGGGATTACAGGTGTGAGCCATGGTGCCTGGCCTCTTCCTAGATCTTTCATTCAACACCCACGATCTCCACTCTATGTCAGGCAATGTCCTGCCTGGGACTGTAGCTACGGAAATAACAGATTTGGGTCTTGGTGTCAGGAAGCTCAGAGTCTGTGGTGAGGTGGATGAGAAAGCAGGTACAACCGTACAATACCTTCCATGGGACAGAAGGCACACAGGACAGGTGCCTGTCCCTACTGTAGACAGAGAGGCGCTGCTTCCCCAGGGAGGTTTCCCTGAGTGGTTTGGAAGGGCCCATATGAGTTCGAGCTGCAGCATTGCAGACGAGTGAACAGAAGATGCAAAGGACAGGAAAAAAGGTGACATTGGTATTAAGAAAAGTGCAGAAGTCCAATGTGCCAGAGGTCAGGGCTGGGTCATCAAGGTAGCAGGTGAGACGGGACAGTTAGGCAGGCGCCAGGTAACTGAGAGCACTGCGGGTCATGGGAAGGATTCTGACATTTATCTTGTGGGCAACAGCCAGCCAGAATTTTTCCCCCCAGATCTGTGGGCAGGGTGGAGAGCGTGAGAGGGTAAGGAGTAGAGACAGAAGCTGAGCTAGGAAGACCGGGCAGCAAGCCCAACAGCAAGTGATGAGGGCATGAACTAGACAGCAGATCGCAGAGGGGTCCCAGACGGATGAGGAACATCCGCATCGCCTGGGCCTGGTTAGAAAGGAGTTGGCTTTGAAGATCTTTAGCTAGAAATGGTGTGGTCTTATTTGACCTTCTACAGCCCCATGTCTGAAATCTTTTCAAGACATCCACTTTCTATGGTACACTAAGTTTGAGCGAGATCATAAACTCTGTGAGGACTGGCACCAGGCCTTATTTATCCTCTAGAAAGCCAGAAGCAGTTACCTGCACAGAATATATGCCTCTTATTCATGGAGTGAAGATATCACCTTTAGAAATCCTTTTGTTGGAGTCAAGAAATGTAGAGCGAACTGAATTCTCTAGGACTCAGGCAATAATTTTAGCCTTTCTGGGACAAACTGTATGTTCCCTATCCTAGGGTTACATAGAACAATTTACCTTTATGACATTCAGGATATAAGAACACCAAACAAACTCCCATTTTCTGAGCACCTCCTTGGGGCTACATGCATGTTGTCACTTTATCTTCACAAAGATAAAACGTACAGGCTGAGAAAGTGCCACACAGGAAGGCTGCAAGGATTGCTTCAAGTCTTACTGACACAAGGAAGAGGAGGCAGGATTGAAGCCCAAGCCTTTCACATCCCTAAGCTCGGCTCCATATCACCGGCTACAATCAGCATTCCCACTGCTGTTTGATCTGCATGTCAGCTTTTAAGATGGGAGAAGAGGGTTAGTTAGCACAACACCTCCCGGGAAGAGAGAGGGGTTATGGGAAAATAGTTTCTACTTTCCTGGGATGTGCTGAAAAGTGGAAAGAAAGTTCTAACAAGTGTAAAAATATTGAGAAATAATACAAAAATAAAAGCCTTAAAATGCCAGGGAGACTATTCTTTAAAAGTTCTTGATGGGAAAATAAGAGAATAAACAAGAAAAGGAAATGAATTTTAAATACTAAAAAAAGGTACCTATGCAATGGAGTGTATCCAAAAGAAGTTCCATCGTGAGGGAGGGTGGAGCAGAAAACAATTACCCACAGTTCTACTGACACAGTCACACTTTGGTCCCTCCTCTTTAAGCAAGTACTTGTCAACAGCCACAGTTTCTAACCCTAGAAATTGTGTCTAAATTGTGTCACTAATGAACAACTAAGGACGCCTTTGCCAGGAGGATGAGGGGAAGGCTGGTCCTGTTTTGCAAAGCATCTGATATGAAAGAAAGAGCATGTTTTTAACACATCAAAGAAAAATAAGGAGTCTCTAAGGGGAGGATTCCTTGGCCCTTTAACCTCAGAGGCTGGGAGGGTGGCTGGGATGGTCTGCGGGAAGCCATCAGTGCCACCCAGGCCTGTGTGAAGAAGAGGCCCACCAGGGGGCGCAAGGACATGAGCAAGGCAAACAGGCTGGGTCTGATTACATAGAAAATCAGTCTCAGGAAGAAACACGTTTTATTACTTCAGGCCTGTTGCTTCTTCCTCGTTTTTATTGTTTTTCCTTTCCATCAAGTTTCTCTTAGCGGACTCAGTTGTTGTCCACAGGGCTCTAAGGCAAGAACTTGCCGGCAGAGCTGGGTGGAGCACTTCCCACACCTGAGGACCCTGTCCCCACACCTGAGGACCCTGTCCCCACACCTGTGGACCCTGTCCCCACACCTGTGGACCCCATCCCCACTCCTCT